TAGATTGAGCGTGTTGCTCGTACTTGATGTGCAAAATTATTCTTGAAGAAGCTTTGGGCATGCCCTGAGAGTGCTGTCCCCTGTCCCATTTGGCTGTGCTGTCGAACCGGCAGGCGGCAGCACGTCATCTCGTCTTGCAGCTGACCCCGGTCTAGCTAAAGAAGAATGCAACGTGCTGGATCTTGACTTCAGTAACTGGGACATGTCCGCCCTGTTCGTTTGGGCTCGTTTGGCTGATAAGCCATGGTTAAAAGTATTGTTGACTGATTTGATGTGAGAGAAAAATATTATTTATTGGCTGAAAAAGTACTATTTATAAGTCGAAGAAGCCCAAACGAACAGGGCGGTGGCTTGTGACACAGGAACATCGCATATATAACTGGAGGTCATGTACTTGGACAATGGACACCCCCAATCATTTTCTTACTTTTTATAAATATTTTCTGGGGAGGGGAAATGCGCATGTGACACATCGCATATATGACTGTAAGTCAAATGACTTCCTCACATATGACATATGCAGTGTATAGTAGTGATTAGGCTAAGGTGGTGTGAAAGTGCATCTAGCCCTTTAGTGAGTTTTGGATGATTGAATGACAACACGATTAAAGGACTAACATGTTTGCTAAGTGTTAGACAGGAAGTTGATTATCTCACAGATACTTGATGAAATTGTATAAAGCCAAAATGATGTATTGTTGTATAAACAATCTAGTTCAAGCACAAGACAACAATGCAAATAGAATTCATGCAAATGCTTATTTATTGTGGGATTTCAATGATCTATGTGAAAGCAAGCACGATAAGAGTCAATTAATGAGACATAAGGGATTGCATATGGAATGGTCTCATATTTGAAGCTTGCTAAATTGAAATGAAAAAGATGACAATACATGAATGGATGATTCAACACAAGATGTGACTTGATGGCTTGAGATGGTGAAGATAGCAAGGAAAGGCTTGAGGTACTAAGCAAGGGTGAAGGGCAAGCGGCGGCTTGGCGGCCGAAGAACCTAGCTAGGGTGAAGAAGGAAGCGGGTGAAGGGCAGCGGCTTGCATTCAAGAACCTAGCTAGGGTGAAGAAGGAAGTACTTGCATTTAGTTGAGGTACTAATCAAGCTATGATGGCCATGTTTATGTGGAGGATCAAATCACTATTGGAATGTTTGATAGAAGTGACTTGATACTTTTTGGAGTTATTCATATTTGATGAATGGAATCAAGTCACGTGCTCAAGATGGCTATGCTCAAGTGACAAGATCAATATTGACATGTTGGCACCCTCACTTGATGAAGATTGAAAGACACGGCATCAATTTCAAAGAAGATCAACTCAAAAGGTTTAATTTCGTTTTTCTTTTGATCTTGAGTTAATAGGTATGCCGTACTATTAAGAGGGATGCAAGTTTAGGTGGTATGAGGAAGATAGAGTGCTCAAGCATAATAATAAAATCAAAAGAGAGACACTCTAGCACTTCACGAGCACATAGAATAATTTTTGATCTGTTTAGTCGGAAGTATAAGCCGGAACTATACCGGAAGTCATGACTCTTGCCGGAAGTAATGACTCGATCCACGGCATATCGTGGACGCCGGAAGTCCCGACGTGAGTCGGAACTCCAAACATCGGAAGTCCCGACCAAGCATCGATGGTTCTCGACTCGATGCTCGTCCGATCGATGGTTCTCTCGACTGGCCGATCGCGTTTCGTTTGAAGTCGTCGACGTTCGTCGAAGTTCCGATAATGGAAGTCCGACGTTCATCGGAAGTTCCGACGTTATCATCTCGAGTGGACTTTGACCTCGCATGAAAAATGTTTTCTTCATACGTCGGAAGTTCGAGAGATGCGTCGGAACTCCCGACGTAGATCTGAACGGTTAGATTTTGCCTTGGTGTATATATACGTCTCCTTCACACTAACACTCGGCCAAAAAGCCCCCAAGCATTCTAGGCTCCCCTCTCTTCACTCCTTTGCTTCCAACTTCGATTCCCAAAGGGTTTGAGTGATTGGAGAGTGGATTGAGTGAGAAAAACACTTTGAGCAAGCTTGAGCACTTGATTTCTTCGTCTTCGGTTTGATTTGCATTTGTTACTCTTGGGGATTTTCCCCTAGCTTGGGTAGGGCGTCGCCAAGAGCTTCCATCTTGTGGAAGAGCCTTGGGAAGTTTGTATTACCCTTGTTTTCTAGTGAAGAAACTCAAGTGACCTTTGTGGTATCCTTGAGTGAGGCAAGGAGGTGGAAGAGACTCCGACCAAAGTGGTCACCTCAACAACGAGGACGTAGGAGCTCCTTTGTGGGCTGCCGAACCTCGGGATAAATTCTTGTCTCCAGCGTGCTTGTTGTTGTTGTGATTTGCTCGAAATTACTTGTATTTGGTTGTCTCCCTCTCTAGCTATTTCTTAGGGTTTGGGACTCGATCTACGGATTGGTGGCTTATCAACGTCAAGAGAGTGACCCAACACCTTACCTTACCACTAGGAAGTGGGTTTGTAAGTTATCAGCATCACAAAGTTCATTTTAGCACTTGTAGTTCATTTCCGTAGGGGTTGAATCAATGCGTTGGAAGTTCGACTCAAAGCTGTTGGGACTGACACGACACGTCGGAAGTTGACCCAATCGTCGGGACTTCCACACGTCGAAGTTCTGACCCAAACACTAGTGCATTTTGATTCAACTCTTGGGTTGTCATTGTTTGCTCCCTAGGTTTATCTAGTATCTTTTATATACTTTGTGGCTAACTTGTGAGGGGTGGTATTACTCTGATTTGGAGTTTCCATTTTGGAAACTCCTATTACTAATCGTTTCCGCTTTTAAAGGTGTTGATTTTTCAGAAACGCCTATTCACCCCCCTCTAGGCAACATCCTAGGTCCTTTCATGGTGTTTGGATCTAGTGCCTAAAATTTATGAGGTGTGTCGGAAGGATGTCGCATAGGGTGTTCGGATATTAATAAAAAAACAAATTACATAATCCGTCGGTACTCCACGAGACGAATTTTTTAAGGCTAATTAATTCGTCATTAGCACATGTTTACTGTAGCACCACATTGTCAAATCATGGACTAATTAGGCTTAAAAGATTCGTCTCGTAAATTAGTCGCAAACTATGCAATTAGTTTTGTAATTAGTCTATATTTAATACTCCATGCATATATCAAATATTCGATAGGACAACGACTAAAATTTAGGAGGGGCAACCAAACACCACCTAAATAAGCCTTATACAGCATGTTCGTTTGGCTGGGCTTGTTCGTTGCTGGATCGTGAAGAAGCACTGCTGGCTGATTTGGTGTGAGAGAAAAATACTGTTCCGGCTGAAAATTTACGATCGTTTACAACCTATAAACCCAAGCTGAACAGGCTGATAGCAACTAGCAACGTATATTCAAGGAAGGGGAGTACACATGGACGGAGGCACGCAACATTGCAACTGGGGGAAAGCGTGTACATGGGCTGTAGGCAGCAGAACAAGGGCGTCAACTTTCCTGCCCATGTTTAGCTTATTTCACAACACTTGGTGTGAGAAAAAAATACTTTGTTGATGACTTTTTCCAAACAAACAGGGCCCATTGCTGCATTCCAGACACTGTACTGTAGGCGTCAGGGGTAGGCTGTACTGTAGGCGTCAACTTTCCTGCCCCGTTTCCTTTTTCACAACACTTTGCAAAGCTTGGCTATGACTTTTTTCTCTTTTGGGCCTTGTTTAGTTGGCGATTTTTTGAAAATGATACTGTAGCATTTTCGTTGTTTTTAACAATTAGTGTCCAATCATAATCTAATTAGGCTTAAAAGATTTGTCTCGTGAATTTCGTCTAAACTGTATAATTAGTTTTATTTTTTATTTATATTTAATGCTTCATGCATGCGTCCAAAGATTCGATGTGACTAAAAATCTTGAAAAATTTTGCAAAATTTTGGGAACTAAACAGCCACTTGCTAGCGACGTGTTGATAGCTCCAATGTGATTGTTTGAAACTTTGAACAAAGAAGCTTGTGGCTTGTGGGCACTCTCTCTGCTCTGCGTCTCAATCTCAATGGACGAAGCCCTCATGTTCAAACCGGGCCTGTTGTTCTCTGCATTGTACTCCGTAGTGTGGAACAGGCTCCCAGCCCCTGGGCCACACGCAAGTACAGCCTATGGGCCTCAGCCTGTTAGTGTGTGAACGGTATAGCGGCCCAGAACACCACCGCGCGGTCGACATGGTCGCGAATCGCGATTTCGCTGCCTCTTTTTTCTTTTCCCGTTTTTATAAATAAATCAGCCCGAAAAAAGGACGCGGTCGTGGACCGAACAAACCTTTCCCCAAAATTTCCCCTCCCCCCCGCACCGAAAGAACTCTCGATCCGATCCCGATCCCTGCAGGGCGCCGCCTCGGCTCACCGATCCGGCCCCGGATCCGCTCGTCGCTCGACGGGATCTCTCGATCGGTACCAGCTTTGCCCCCTCTCTTTGATTCCGTAGGTTCCCGAGGCTAGGGTTTGCGGGGTGGGTTTCGGGCCCCGATCCGTTCGATTGAGGACGGATTTTGCACGGGGGCGTCGGATCTATGCGTGTCCTGTAGGTTTCATATCGGATTGTTGCGATTTCTCGCGTCAATTTTGCGTGATTTTTCTGGTGGTCGGATGCGGGGCTAGGGTTTCGTTCGGTCCATGAGGTGTTTGATTCGTATTCGCGAATTCGTTAGGGTTTGATGCCGCGATATTCGAGCCTGTTGCTTCAATTAAGTATTGCACGAACAAAAACGTTGTTACGTTACTCGTTACAGACGGCAATTCATGTGTGCCCTTCATCATGGTAGTTGAATATGCACTGTGCATTTGGTCTGGAGTGAACTCAATAAGGTGTTGATTTTAACCTAGCATATAGCTTAAATCATTTATTGTTCCTCCTGAATTGGTGCTTTCCTTTCAGTTTCGTCCTGTTGACTGTTTGCCAATTAATAACTAGGCCATGTTTGTAATTAATTATTTCATTCTATTCTCTCAGGAGTCTGGACAAGCATGCTGCATCAGGAAAACAGTGAGGCTTTCGTGAGGCACCACTCTGAGCAGCTTGCATGTGGCAACATGAGGGGAGCAGATAATGGTCGTCCGAATTTCCTTCCTGAGAAATGCCAGATTGCAGGTAGTGACTTAGCAGCATCCTCTTTGCTGCCCTAGACTGGCTAGACATTTGTCTTGACTCTAATTCAGGTTTAGTTTGTCCTGAAGTTTGCCAAAGGGGTGAAAAGGTTGGCCTATTTGATGAAGAGCTGGTACATGGTGTTCATCTAACCAATCCTACTGTTCAGTCACCATTGGTGTCAAGTGGTGTCAAAGAAACACCTATAGTTGATCATAACAAGAGACCTGCATCCAGTGACCTGCTGGACATAGTTGAATGCAAACGGCTAAAGCAGGAAGATCAAAGTAATAACTCCGTCCTCCCTTTACCAGTAAATAAACTTGTCTTTCCTGAAAGTTTGTGTATGCAGAGACAGTTAGATAATGTACTTGTCTTTTGTTTATTCCAGTCGTAAGCTAAGGAAGACAACCATGCATCTGCTGAGGAGGATTTTCATGAGTATCCCACATACACGACTTGCGAAAGAAGCTTGCTCTCACCACTATATGAGAGTGAGGAAAGTGAAGATGAGGGTGTAGATTCACCTCTCCATTATTCACATGCTCACACCTATGTTGAAGATGATCTATGGCCTGTCAGCTTTCATCAATCTGTAGGCCCTTTTCCCTCGAGGAAACCTGTTCCTATTGGGCCAAATCATCAGGCTGAATTACCTGAGTGCAGGCCATTTGGTGGAAGAACTGAAGAAGGCGAAAGTTTCAAGTGGATCAGAAACGTTGTTGTGCCAATGCCTGGTACTGATGCATCGTCTTTGGTGTTGGAACCTGTTCACTGCAAGGCAGGCTGTGATTGTCTTGATGAAGGTTCAATCAATTGTGTGAAAAAGCATGTGAGGGAAGCAAGAGAAAAGCTGAAGGGTGCTGTTGGTGCAGACACCTTCAGGGAGTTGGGTTTCTATGATATGGGAGAAGAGGTTGCCTCAAGGTGGACAGAAGAGGAGGAACATTTGTTCCAGCAAGTGGTCTTGTCAAACCCTGCTTCTCTGATCAGAAACTTCTGGGATGAACTCCCTCTTATCTTCCCTTCCAAGTCCAGCAAAGAACTAGTGAGCTACTACTTCAATGTTTTCATGTTGAGGAAGAGGGCTGAGCAGAACAGGTTCGACCCAGTGAACATCCACAGTGACGATGACGAATGGCAGGCAGGTGGTGATGATGAGTTTCCAATCACAGGAAGAACTGATGAATACTTGCCAACTGAGTCCCTTACTGATCAAGATGATGTTGCATGCAATCCAGTTCCTCTGGAGGGGGATTTCTATGAAGATTCTGATGATGAGGATGTGCTTGACAATGCCAATGGAGACAGGCATAATGGTGTGCAGAGGGCTGGTATGTTGTCAGAGGGCCATCCTGTAATGTCATATATAAATCATAATCAACAGACGTTCAAGCTAGATGCAGATGCACAAGATGACTCTTGCACATCATTTGAGGCTCATCAGGTTGGTGTTGAAGGTGGGACACATACTGATATTGCTGATGACAATCACTACAGGAGTGACGGCTTTGGTGGTGGTGCAGAGCATGGGTTCTTTGGTGATCATTGTGACACAAAAGAGTGGGACTTCGGTTTCAGTACCGGTTGGGAGAAGCATGATTTTTTGTCAACAAACAATGTCATAGAAGAGGTGTTCGGAAAGGGCTCCAGTGAAGATGGGAGCAACACTGCTACTGGCCAGGACCTTATCTGAGCCAGAGGCAGAGGGCTTCTTTTTGAACTGCGAAAACTTCAGCAGTCCCCCTGTTCTCTGAATTTGTACAGGAGTAGTTGGCTATTTTGATTTAATGCCTCACTTGGTTCTTATAGGAATCTCTCATCCCTGTCCTTGGAACATCATCTGCTTGCGATTTCGGTCACATGATTAATGTAAATCCTTAGATGATATCATCTGCCGATGATCTGTTGTTAGGCTGTAGCATGTACGTATCATCTTTGTTGTGACAGTGTCTCTTGAGCATTTTTTCCATGTGCCAGCGAGGGTCATGTAATAAAGCTGTTGTTCCTTGACCCAATATATCTCTCACCCGGTCTGAGAATGAGTGACCAGCCCGTCGATGTACTCCTCCCAAGCGTCATTTTTTATCTGATGAAATTTGTTGTCGTTTCTGCGGCTCGTTCGTCATCTCTCTTTCTTTTTTTTTTAAAAAAAATGCCTCGCTTTTAAACACGTATTTCCCAAACGTCATTTTTTATCTGATGAAATTTGTTGTCGTTTCTGCGGCTTGTTCATCATCTCTCTCATTCTTTTTTTTTTAAAAAAAAATGCCTTGCTTTTAAACACGTATCGCATCGTATTATGATTGCAAACAGTCCCATTGTGCAGAGTCCAGAGCCTCTCTCAGAGGGCATCTGTTTACATGAGCATTGTAGAGTACTGTTTGAGGACCTATCTGGGGATCGAAGTGCTTGAGCAGCTCATAGGTGTGCCGTGTGCTTCTGGTGTCTTGCAACCTTGTATACCTTGGTAGTTGCTTGAAGGGCTGTAGGTAAGGAACTTCCGAGTTGTTGAAAATCCTTACATGATCAAATTAAATAGAAGAACAATCATTATCGAGGCAAAGGATCAGCCACCAGAATTTCCAAAATACACCTTCTCATTGATTCTTTTTGCCAAGCTTCATGAATTCACACGCAAAACACAAAAATTCTAGGTATCGTATTTGTTAGTACATAATATTTTTTTCTCACTATAGTATAGCAATGACAATATTCTCTTGTTTTGATATACAGACGTTATTGGAAAAATTACCGCAGTATGAAATACAGCAAGAGTCCATTCAATCTCAGGAGATTTAAGGATCAGAAGAGTAATACAGCTTCGTGACCTTAGGTATACCATATTATACCAATTAAAGGCATGTTTTCTAGTCACAGTTTAATTATAATTCCTTAATGCTAACTTGTAACCTTAGGTATACCATATTATACTAATTAAAGGCATGTTTTCTAATCACAATTTAATTGTAATTCCTTAATGCTAACTTGTATTTTACGCTAAAAGAGCTCTAGAATTTGACGGAGAAACAGTCCTACAAGTTGGCCAAGAAAACCATGTTATGACAATATTTGTTGGAACCTTAATGAAATTATACCAAATGAAGCATCACTTTCTAAGTGGAACATCAGCATGTCGTTGGTACATTAATCAAAATGATAACCCTGAGATCAAGTCATTTCAAAAGAGGTTAGTTATCATTTAAACCCAAATGAATATAATAACATTTTTCTTTTTAGTTTATTGATCTTCCCACTTGGGCTTGAATTCCATGTTAAATGCAGCCTTCCAACACAGGCTGAGCCCATTCAGAAGTTATATCTGCAAAGTGAGGACGATACAAAGCAGAACTTTGAAGAGAAGACACTGTTACAACTTGAGGAGGTGGACCCCCTTACTGAAAAGGTATATTCCTTGCTAGCTAAAAAGATTATAATTTATCGAAAATAGTAAATCTGACATAGATTGATTCTGCTTTAAGCAACGCATTTGACTACAGTTATTACAGCAAATTCAACTCAAATATATGCAGGACAAGCGATATCAATGTACTGTAACTATAACCGCAGTTCCTGAGAGGCAACCCTGGTGTTATCGAGCTTGTAGAAGTTGCAACTGCACTATTAGAGTCCATCGAAATGGCTTCAAATGCAGCAACGAAAACTGTTTGACAACTCAAGTTGATTGGAAGTAAGCTACTACGGTTTGTATTAAAAGGAAATTTACATCACCAAGAAAATATAAAATAATTTGAATCGCTGCCATTTTTTTATAGGTACAAGATACCCTTCATTGGAAGTGACGAAACATTCAGCCTTGAGCTTATCTTATTTGAGAAAAGGGGACTGAGCTTATTGGGAAAACTGCTGAGGCTCTCCATAAGCAATATGATATGTTGGATACACCTCCTGAAGTATCAGCATGGATTGGTCACAAATTTACCTTGCTGGTTAAAATTCTATCCAGCAAGAGTATAAATACAAGAGAAATTTTATAATGGTTGAAAAAAATATGGGTCATTCATTAGATGAGATCGGACGATAGAAAAATAGGAGGTATTCAACTAAAAGTACTTAATGGTACCAAATAGATAGAGATAGTACCAAAATAGATGGGGCACGTACTAAAATAAGTGGGACCAAATCCTAATTTTTGTTAATTTTAATTATGGTAAAGGGTAAAACAATAATTCATTATCTTCCATGCCTAAACTGTAACACCCTTCCGACCCTTCTCCCATCGCCGTGTATATGCAGAGGGTCTCCGCCAACACCGCTCGCCCAGCTGCAAGCACGAGCGCGCTCCAGCAGCTGCCGCGCCACAAGAGAACGCTCGCCAGGTGTGCCGCCACCGCCGCTCGCCCTGTCCGCGCACAGCTCTGCCTCCGCTAGCAACACCATGGCCACCTTGTACGCGGCCACCGCCGCACATCCAGCCGCGCACTGCGCTCAGCTCCACCAGGAGTGCCATGGCTAGCTCCGTGCCTCTGTCACCCGCCAGCCACCAGATTACGATTAATTTGTTTGACGAATTTTTTAAGCCTAATCAGTTCATTGACAATGTGGTGCTACGGTAAAGATGCGATAATGATGGATTAATTAGGTTTAATAAATTCGTCTCGCTGATTACTGATGACTTCAGTAATTTATTTTATTATTACTATCCGAACACTCCCATATGATACCCGACGTGACACCCAATGTGATATCCTTAAACTTTACTTTTGGATTTAAACACCACCTAAATCATTATGCTATTCCACGTTGCAGTACGCACGCATTGTCAAAAGGCTCGGCTTCCCAGCTCCGTTCAAAGACAATGCTTTTGTTACTTTGATTCGTTCAGAAAGGAAAATGATTCCTGCCCTCTCACCTTGATTGATTGAATGGGTTCTGATGACATGCTTAAGTTCGTAACGGCGGGTTCAGACATCTGAAAAAACTGACGCGCCCTGTGCTGTGGAAATGTGGAATCCGTGTGGTGCCTAATGTGAGAGACCAAGAGATAATTACCAATATAGCCTAACGAATCATCTTTTTCACTTAAATAGCTAGCAAATAGAAAAATAAAAGTACCTAAAGTACCATCGGTACTTTCACAACCATTGTAAAAGAGCTCTAAATGCAAGAGATCCATCACCTGAAGTTCTTCTGATTAAGCAAAAATTTGGAAAACAGCCAACCATACCCACTGTCAGTCGAGATGATGGTCTATCAATGAGAGCATGCTCAACAAAATTTCAAGCTGAAGAAGAATTACCACTCTTAGTACGGATAGGCTCAAAAAAAAATCAAGAGCAGGTATCCATAACATTTTATTTTCATACCAACTGCTAAGATTTCCCCCCCAATATAACACTCATACTATGAATCATATAGGCTTCATCTTCACGACTTAAAGTTGATGCAAACATACACGACATGGAAATCGACTCATCCAGGTATGGCTACCAGCAACATTTCACATGTTTTAGTAATGATGAAAGAATACACTTGTAATTGGACTTAATGAAAATTTTACTTTCTTTGGCGAAAGTGATGACTCAAACAAGAGAGCTCTTGACTTGACAGACGATGAGAATCAGGTACCTTTACCAAACACATAAAGTTTGTCCTAATATGTCACGGGAGGACAGTTTGCTCCAGCCAAAAATAAAAAGTTGTTGCGTTGGACTTTTGATCAAGAAACAATTGCGTTTGCCAAATTTTTATGTTTAATCTTTTGATGACTCACTAATCAACGTCAGGCTATTCTAATGTATTCTAGCAAGCCTGTATCTTTTGTTGTACGTATTGGACGGTGTATACAGCACTCCAATACCGTCCCTTCGAGTTCAATGCCGTAGGATTGGATGGACACTTTAGCACCGTACAATTCTCCAACTGAGTCTTGCTCGCATGGCGTTGGAGTCTATCAGCCTGGTTTCGGCCAGGATTTATCAGCCACGATATAATAGTTTTTCTCTCATAACAAACCAGTACTAATCGGGTTTATCAGCCCAGAAATAATAACGAACAGACTGTGTAAAGACTTTTGTTCTAGCAACTAATCTTTAGAGATCTCGCAACTTCACATATATGTTACAACTGACTGAAATCACGATGTTTGATATATATCTTACCATGGACACTCGATTATCTAACCAGCACTGAGGCCCAGTTGTGCTTGGTTACACACAGATCTAAACAAGAAGTGGCCAGCGGTTTCTCGTACTAGCTCTCTCTCTCTCTCTCTCTCTTTTGGTGACGGGGATCACTGTAGAGACAATCTCTCTCTCTGGTGACGGGGATCACCGTAGAGACAAACTAAACCGAACTTCTTCACAAAGCAATGAAGAAGTTTCGACTGGTGCTGAGAATATCTACATCTACTTCATTCTTGCAGAGCAACCAAAGCCCTCCAGAAAGGCCTTGAGCTGGAACAACGTGATCATGATCAGCATTGAATCGATTTATCAAAGCGTGATCCTTGAATTCCTGGTCTCTGGAAATATTACCTGCTTGTCGAGGCGATTAGTCGGGCGAGGTGGAGCATTTTAAGGCTGCCGCCCGAACCCCGGCAGTTCGACGCCAGTAGACTCATGGCACCCATGACGCCTTGAAGGTTGGCGCCGAAGTCTGTTGAAGCTGTTGTTGAGGAAGCTGGCCGTGCTCAACAGCAGTCGGAGGCTGAAGTCCTTCAGGAGGGGGATCTTGAGCCGCATCAAGAACTCTGTCGGCGAGTTGCTGGTGCACATGCTGAAGAAGACGACGCTGACCCATGTCACCGACTGGAAGACGGACAGGGTGAGCCTCCCAATCTCGCGGAACCCCTCCGCTGCTCTGGCACTCCAAAGCCCACCTGATGGTCGGGCCATGGAGGGAGGAGGAGGCGAACGCGGGCCCCTCGAAGCGGTGCGCCTCCTGCGGATCCAGGCCACTAGGAGGGGGGCGCATGGCCTCTCCCAAAGCTTCCCTAGCAGTACGGCCAGTAGAGTCAGCAGCAGGGTCTGGATGGGCCTGTCGATGAGATCCTGAAACTGTGGCGTGAGCCAGCCGCGGAGAGCCGACGCCGAGAACTCCGGACCGGTCCCTCTGGATGGCGACTCACCGGCGGGTGGAGCGGTGCTTAGGGGGTACGTCTGGTCCTGGAGGAACGCGGCGAAGAGGAGGCGCGGCGCTGGCTGGACTGGCGGAGTCCGCCATGGCGAGGAGGCTTTGGCCGAGTGCGAGGGCGAGGCAGAGCGCTGCGAGGAGAAGGGAGCGAAAGAGTGGGTCCGCCATGGCGAGGAGGCTTTGGTTGAGTGCGAGGGCGAGGCAGAGGGCTGCGAGGAGGGAGCGAAAGAGTGGGTTTTGCAGGGGTTTTGTCTTTTGTGCTGGAGGAGTTTGGGCTTGCTGCCTTGCTGGGATGCAGTCGGTGGCTCGGGTGTTGGAGGGGTGACTCCTAGCTATCACTAGCGCGCGGCCAGGACTTGTAGAGGCACGCAAACAATTCAAGCCTCCAAGGTCACCAGGACTAGTTTAAAGTCAAGAGAACGTGAGGCCACGGCCCGCGCACGGGTGGCCACGGTATCAAACGAGATGGCGGTCATCGGATGGCCATTGGGTGGCTGTGATCGCGTTGACCCAGTGCCGTTGACCATCTGGACGGCGGGCGCAATCGCCGTACGGTCAGGGCGTACGGCCGAGGGCAGAGGGGGACGGCGCAGGCGGTGTCCGGTCAGAGCGCCGAGAGTTGACGGCGTTGTCGCCGGTCTATTGGCCGGCTGGTGTCGCTGTCGTCTCCGCATTGGATGGGGTCAGCCGGGCCCATTCGTCGGCTGCAGCGGGGGAGCCTGACCAACCGACACCTTCTCCGGTGCTGCTGAGGCCGCGTTCGGGCCGCGTGTGGAGCCTAGCCATGTGACGCTGCCAGTGGGGCCGTCCTGCTGCCTTCGTTTCGTTGTCGCCTGATCATTGGGCTGGCCTCAGCGGGCCCGTTTGTCAGTACGTGGCGGGTTTCCGGGCGGTGGACAGGCCGCGTCCCACACGAAACGGACGTCCACCCGTGTGACGCTGCGTATGGGCCCATGATGTTGGGCCTGTTGTTCCAGAGACGACGGAGGGCCCGCGGATCAGCGTCGTTGGGTGAACGTGGCACGCGTCCATGGATGTGCCGCCAACCCCGTCCAGTCCGCTTCGATGAGGAAGTGCGGACGCTGCCGTTCCAGTTGCTCCTCCGTCTCTCATCTGGGTACGGATGTAGTATCCGCTTATATACAGACTCACACCCATTTTACACACGTATACCACATTTACACCATACAGATTACTAGATTACAGACATACAACTACACTTAGATTACTAGCTTGCGTCTTTCGAGATCACCGGGTCCGACCACGGACTCGTAGGCGACGGAGAGGCAACCGAATTTTATCTGGGGGTGAACCCCGGTGAGAGACGCGAGTGCGAATGCTGGTATTCGAACTCGCGCCGGCTGCATTCGGTCCGTGAGGGGCTCGGCGCGTGTGGGTTCTAGGTGTTGGAGAGGGGCGGCGGCTCGCCGGGTCACCGGATTTGTGAGGCAGTGGGGCAGCGCGCGGCGCGACTGCGGAGGACCTCGGACGACTAGCGGACGACGCTGCTGCGCAGGGACAGCGGCAGACCTGCAGCTCCTCGCGTAGGTATTGGTTGCTCTCCTTTCCCTCTCTTGTTTGCCTCCATTTTTCTTTCGTCGTTGGGAATGGTGCATTGCTTGTGCGTTTCTTGGGTAGCGGTGCGAGGCGAGGGTTAGGGATTCAGCGTCTTTGGGGATCCTACCCTGGACGCCGCGTGGTGATGTTTGTCGCCTGTGGATCGTGCCTTGAGAACAAGCATGGCTAGAGTGCCTGCACCAAGCACGGATGTATTCGGGATTTGAATACGAGGATTCTTGGTTCTAGGGTTATGCCGATTTAGCTGCTTCTGTTGCTACCAGGCATGATTGCTGGATTGGTGAGAGAACGCCGTAGGGTAGCTGCTCAGTCTGGAAAGAGTGGCAGGGGGTGTGCGCTTTCGGTTTCCAGGTGTATGGACCACACCAGTAGACAGATTGTATTAGCTTCCTGTCTATTATGAGTTTGCGATGGTGGCAAGTGATGTAGTGCCTTTGTCTGTTCGGAGCTTGTGATGGTGCCAGGTGATTCGGTGCCTTTAGCACGTGCTGCAGTTAGAGGCCCCTCTATGTTGTCTTGCCTGTTGCTTTTCAGGGATTATCAGTATGTTTGCTTTGTTGGGAAGTCCACTAATTTATTTCCTGTTTGCCATGTGTGCTTTCTTATGGTCTTAAGCTCGCCTATGGCGTTAGTTGCTTTGTCTGTGTTCTGACATTTTGTTTATTAGTTTTCCCCCTTATTCGCCACGGCCGCTCGTTCGTTGGTGGTGTCTGGTGTGTTGTTGTGTTTTTTTTTTATTTCAAATTTGGCGTGATCAGGTTCACAGGTCGATGTTCGTTGTGGGTGCATGGTACCTGTCTCTGTTACAGGCTGTTGTGGCCCGGTGTGACCTGTCCTATGCAGCCGTGGTTTCTGAGGTAGCTAGGGGTGGAGCGCCGGTCTACCGAGTCGAGATCGATGTGCCCTGTGTCGGGACTGTCCTGCCGTGCCTTAGCTTTTTCTTTTGGGCAGCCACGGATGGATTTACTGGCCTTGGTTATGAGCAGGCTGCGCTGCAGGCTATTGCTCTGTTTGACTGATTGATAAGTCATGGCTGAAAGTACCGTTGGCTGATTTGTTGTGAGAGAAAAATACTGTTCGTTGACTGAAAAAATACGACTCATAAGACAAAACGAACAGGGTGTATGTCGTTCCTGCAAGCAGTGTATGGGTTTGTTGTTGTTGATTACAATTTTGTGGGTGTAATTTTGTGCAGTAGTGGCTCGCGCACATGTAGAGGGCACCATGTGTCTTATCTGACGTGTTTAGTGGCAGCGATTTAGACAGGATGTTCCTCGTGTTACCGGCTCCTGATACCTATTTCCTGTTAGGCCTTGTTTAGATTACCTTAAAATTTTAAGTTTTTTCACTCTCTCTCTATTACCTTAATTTTTAGACGCATGTATGGAGCATTAAATGTAGGTAAAAAAATAACTAATTACACAGTTTGGTTGTAAATCACGATACGAATCTTTTGAGCCTAATTAGTCCATGATCAGATAAAGTTTGTCAAATACAAACGAAACATGCTACAGTGTCCTGATTACAAAAATTTGCAATCTAAACCAGGCCTTAGCTGTGCAGGTCGTCGAGTGTTTCAGGGGCTGGTTGCTTGTTTAGTGGCAGCTGCTGCAGTTTGGTATGTCAGGTCCTTCCTCTTGTCCTGTCAGCTACCTTGTTTAGTTACTCAAAAATATAAACTTTGACACTATGTAAAAAGAAGATTTTATGTTATATCAAATTTACGGTACATGCATGTAGTACTAAATGTTGACGAAATCAAAAACTAATTGCACAATTTGGTTGTACTTTGCGAGACGAACGTTTTGAGCCTAATTAGTTAACGATTGGATAATTATTACCAAATACAAATAAAAAGCTACCGTGCGCTACGGTGCTGGTGAATTTTAGGCGGCGCCGATTCAGGCGGCAACTAAACGTGGCCTGATTATTTTTCCGTTAGCCCGGTGGTGCCTCTTGCATGATCCAAGACCTCTTAGTTTTGCTTCCTTGTCGTTGCTCTAGGTGCTTTATATTGGATGCTGTTTACTCTACGTTACGTTATGTTTACTCTTACCGATTCGTTTCGATTTAGTTGCTTCCTGGATGTGGTGTTTGGTGGGCTGTTAGCATACACCTTGTTTGCCTGGCATATTAGCTGGCCGTTGTTCTTTATTAGTCTGTGTGCTGTTCTTACGTTTGTTTGTTTGTGCAGGTGGAATTATTGGGTTCTAGGCAACAACCAAAAAAAAAAAAAAAAAACTCAGTTCTGTGGTCCGAGCGATATCGCTTGCACAAGGTAGGGAGGGTACGCTGACTGTTTAGCTATCTTCTTTAACTGACGCCGCCTAACGATTGTTCCATCATCAGGAGCGTATCGGCGGTTCGCGGTCGTTGCTAGGGCCAGGGCTGGTGCTCCCTGTGAGGTCAGTGCGACCGAGATTGGCGTGAGCATCACACAACAGCTGAGGCCTGGTTTAGTTGCAAAAAAAGTTTCAAAAAAGTGCTACAGTACCCATCACATCGAATCTTACGATACGTGTATGGAGCATTAAATGTAGATGAAAAAAAACTAATTATACAGTTTGGTTGGAAATCGCGAGACGAACGTTTTGAGCCTAATTAGTCCATGATTGAACACTATTTACCAAATAAAAACGAAAATGCTACAGTTCCCAAATTCCAACTTTCCCTCCAACTAAACACAGCCTGAGGCAGTTTCAGACTAGCTTCACCATCACGTACTCACCTCCGGCGCCGTTTCAGCTGCAACTTCTTGGGTGTCGGAGTCTAGATGGAGAAGGTTTCGTGTTGGACTTGGTACCCTGGTGCTTTGAGTACGAGTCGTCTGATCTGCCGTGGATCACTGCCGATGATGCTGAAGGTAAAATCCGAAAACCTCTGCCAACATATGTGTGTGTTGAGGAGATTGGTTTCTTTCTCCACGCCTGACACTATGGGTTGAAACACAGCGATTACGGCAGGACCAGTATAACACCTCAGGTGTTAGTACAGGCTAAGCAGTGAGATTAGACTTAAACAAGATATGTCAAGTGGTGGCAAGGTGTGGAGTTTAACACTTCTAGCGTGAGCCCTAACCTAAACTTTGTTTGCATGTTTATTTTTTTTCAAAATATGCATGGTTAGTGTTAATCATGTGTGGTAGAACCGCCAAATCATATGGCCCACAAGTGCTCATCATTGTCTCACAGACTTCTGACTGTAGCACATATAAGCCACATAATACTGGTACTGTCGGGTGTCAAGCTCTGGCATGAAAACATAGTTCATTAGGTACATGAAGTGAGTTGGAGCATTGGTTAGGCCGAAGGACATGACTAGGTATTTATATAGTCCATATCTGATGGTGAAAGCAGTCTTTGGAATATCTTTCGGTTGGATCTTAATTTAATGGTAACCAAATCTGATATCGATCTTAGAGAACACTTTAGCTCCCGCAAGTTGATCGAAGAGTAGATCAATGCGAGGAAGATGATACTTATTCTTAATAGTTACCTCATTCAACGGACGATAGTCAACACACAGCCTCAAAGTTTTGTCTTTCTTTTTCACAAAAATAGCAGGACATCCCCGTGGTGATGAACTCGGCC